ACACACACACACACACCTTCAAAAAAAAAAACATCAAGGAGAGAATCAGATTTTTTAAAATTTGGGCAGCAATAATCTTCAGCTTTAAATCATCAGAATTAAATAGTTTTCTTTACATACAGACAGAGCCGCGCTGTGAACACGGACTCACTTATAAACATATAAAAATACTTAGACTAGTTTGATAAGAAAATAATGTATAAAAGTAGAGTAGAAACATTTAATCAAGTCCATTATTTCCATTATCTTATGGTCTTGTTTATAATACAGGATGGTGACGATATGAAAGAAACAAACTGCAGTACTTCTGAAAGCCTGGACAGAAGTACAGACGTGGAATAAACGGGGGTGGCAGAACACACAGATTGTGTCTGAAGTGAAATGAAAACTCCTCAGGTGGTAGGTCCGATGTGATCTTGTTCCACCCGAGATGAACTTACAGCTTTCATCTAAAGGCTTCTGTTGGTCCTGGCTTTTCAGCCAGCTGACCGAGCGGGACAGAAATCAGAGTCGCACACCGATTCACGGACACGAAACGAACACACCGCCACTGTGTCACTGTTACAACTACATGATGGATTTCAGAGACTAAATCTGCACCGAAGAGCTCAATGAGAAGCTGCTTGATTTGCAAATACAGAGCAAACACTGTCCATCCGTGCCGCCGTCCGAAATCCTGTTCATTTTTTTTAAAGCTACACAACGTGCTACCAATCATTTTGTCTCCGTTGCTTCTGAGATTTCAGACAACAGAACACCGAGGTTCTAACTTCAGGGAGAAAAAAAAAATCAGCTGAATTTGCTACTTTCTGTAATTTGAGAAAATGGAACAGGAATACAATAATTTCTTTATACAAGACTTAAAAATAAATCAAACACTGTAGACACTCCATACGTGGTGACTGAAATGAACGCAAGAGCCAAAGAAAATGTGAAGAATCCACAGCAGAATGCCAGAAACACGTGTCAGTATATCATTGAGGGATGTCCAGGAATTATACTTATATACATACATATTCTATTTCTTATACATAAAACCCAACTCCACCTCACACACTGCACTGTGGTGATTTAATAGGTTATTAGAAATACATTTTGTAAATCACAAATGTCACATATGTACAGTAGCAGATCAGCACGTGGGAGTGAAGGTGGAATATGGCACGACATACACAAAGCTTCATATAAGATAATCTCTGCTCTGATCAAACACTGGAAACTAAAAGTCATTAACATTCTAATATATAT